TGCGTCATGTCGAGCACGACTTTATCGCGACTGCAGTATCATACGACGGGAGTCACTGCGCGAGATGTTGAAGCGATGGAACGAAAATTCGCGATTTTCTTTCGCTCGTATCTGTATCTGCCGACGATGAATTTCCGTTTCAATCAGTCCGAAAAGGTGGATTCACATTATCGAACTAAACCTCGAGCCTATATAAAGATGAGCTTCGAGCCGAATTTCTTTACGCTTCTTTCTTAAAGATTTGATAACGCGAACGCACTGCTCGACTGACGATCGAGGTTCGCCACGAAGTTTAGATAATGTGGAACCATCTTGGTATCAAATATCCGGAGAGATAGGCGAGCTGAGAAATTACGAGAAAAAGACCGATGCAGATTTATCTACGTTGCGTAAAAATAATTCTTATACAATTTAAAGAAACTTAATTCTTATATATCTTCAGTAAAATTCGTGCGTCTTCAATCTATGCCTTCGGTAAAATATCATGTCTGTCTTTAGCTCGGCCATCGATCACTCCAATCAATCTACTCGCAATTGCCCCGAATTAGTATCGCGGTTCAAGAAACGCCTTGATAATTACCTCGCTGCACCATCGCCGGGAGCCAAAGTCGAGGAGTCACTCTCGTAACGATCCGCGCGCGAAACAATGACGGTGTAAACAGTGCGCGCGTGCGGGGACCGGCCTGGCACCCGGGAATCTCTCGACGGCGCGCACACGCCGCACTCGAAAGCACTCTACTGACGAGCGGACGATGCCATAAGCGAATCGAACACTGCGGCCAGCCGCTATGCTGCCATCGCGGAGAAGGAAATGCGGCCGACAATTTTAACGTGTGTTATGTTGCATACCGCGCCAGTCGTCGGTGACCAGCTGTGTTACTAAAACGTGATATAAGATACAGCTGACAATATACTATACATAGCAATATATATTATATCTGTAATTTCATATTAATATTATTATATTATATTGTGACAAGATTGCATATATAATAGTCTATATATAATAGTAAGTGTAATATTTATTATATATGTAATTATAAAAAACTAATCAAAGTATGTGTTAATATCAATAATAAATATCGAAATTCTGCGTTTTTTCGCATGTTCAATCATAATCATTATCTAGTATTATTTTATCAAAGGTATGCCTAAGAAAGTATGGAAAGAATTAAAGTATAATTCTGATTCCGATATGTAAAGACAGAGCATGTATTTTATATTTATTTAATATTCAACTTCTGTCGCAACTGATAAACAAACTTTTGGGAAGAAAAAAGGACTCTCATACAAATATTTTCGAGAAATTGCAATTTTACAGCCAGAAATCGATAGTTCAAAAAAATTATTATTTTTTATAACATTGAAAGCGCAATCTGTAGACTTTCATCGATATAGATTTTTGTAAAGTTTCCTATGAAATCCGTACGATGTTTAACGTGTTACGTAGCGAGCGACGTGTGCGAGCCCCGGGCTCTTGGACACTACCGTTATTGCTTTATTAAAGCCCGTATACGTCATTGATCAAACTCTCTCGCAATCTCCGAGTGATCTCACGACCTCGCTGCCAGCAGGTGCCAGCGAAAAATGTAGGGTGTATCGGAAAAGAAATCGGGAAAATATCGTTTCACGAATTCAAAGTCGATCTCTTCTACGTTGCGATAAAAAATTTTAACGTATTGTCACGCTTCAATTAACATTGACATTAATGGTTCCTTTTTTTTTTAAATTAGATGTATAAATTTTGGAAAAAAACTTTCACTTTTCTTTAAAATTCAGGGCAGAAGTGTGATGTTTTTCGTTTCTTCGGAATTTATTTTATCAAATATCGACCCATTTGATCTTCATGTTGCGTGAAGATTAAATAAATGGGTTATGCGTTAGCGCGTGTCGGCGTGTCGTCTGTTCTTTTTCGAGCACAAGATGCGCGTAACGGTTTACGCGTATATACACGGACACAGGCGGCCGCATTAATCGACGTACGTACGATCGAACTTCAGCTACAACCTTAATGACGCGATTGACAGTGTAGTAACTGAAGTGGCGCAGTCGTTAAATCCCCGACACTCCGGAGGTATCCTATCAAGCGAACACGGTGCGGACGAGAAAAGGATAATGACCCATCTCATCGCGCGGGAGGTGCATCGATTAGGAGGACGTGCACGATCCCGTCCTATCGAGGGTGCCGCGTTCTATTCCCATACGATCCATCGATCGTTCTAAAGTGCTTAAATGCCGCCGACTTGCGTGACTTTAACTCGCGCCCGGAGTAAAAGATCGTTGACGTTGAAATTTATACGGGGCGTTCGAAAAATATATACCATTTCCTCGAAACCAAAAATTGGAGCAATCGGAATAATGTACGAGTCTTTTCAGGGGGGTCCAGCTGATCAATTCTACGAAATAGAAAAACAGAAAATTGATAAAGTTACATAAATTAATCTATAGTACTAAAGTCCAATAGTAAATGACGCGAAGTTTATATAATTGCAAATATATTTAAATAGAAATATTATATTAAAATTTAAATAGAAATATTATCAGGTATCAAGAAACTAACCTCGATCGTATTTGACGCTTCTCTACTTAATTGTATTATTCGTTATAGCGGTCTAGTTTAACGTATTATAATTTATTATTCTTTAGTATTAACTTATTATAATTTATTATTCTTCCGTGAGAGACTCTACTTAGAATTCTCCACTTAGAATTAAGAAATTTACAGAAAGTAGGATCGCTCCGTTTGGATTGTGGGAGGTTCACACGCGAGTCACAGCTGGACGTTATTGACAATCGAGATATCCCCGCTGGAAATAATCCGCCTCGGATTTTCGCTTAGGAACGGCTATAACGCGTTGAGGTGTATATAAGCGTCGGCTCACGACATTGAGGCGGACCATAAGAAAAACGTCGACGGTACACGTGACTGCACTTGCTAATCGATATAATAGTCGTACAATCTGCGACTCGAATAACTCGACGTACCAAACTCCCCCCACGGGTTTTTTCGACGGGAGAAACACACCGTGTCGCCGCCGGCTGGTTCGCCTCCGCGTACGAATGCCGACGCAGCCGTTTCAAAATTCGAAGGCCCGTTCTCGCCGTAGGACGCGAGGAAAGTGTCGGCTCAAGGCTGGCATCGATTAGATAAATCTCCGTGCCGAGATCCGATACGGAATAAGCTGAATTAACGTGAGACATCTCCCCCCCCTGCCCCTTTTCTCCTTTGCTCGTCCCAGAGGGACGGAACACGTTCGAAACCCCCGCATAGAGAATGACGAATCGTCGATCGATGACTCGCGTTCGGCCGTGACGTTAAAATGTGTTATATTGTACAAATGACGCGACACGGACGAATGTACGGGGTGCTCCGAGCGAGTGCGCTCCGACGATGACGTGGATACACGAGGGCATAGCCTGCGTACGACACAACCGATGATTAATTTAATATCTAATGATATTCATTTGCATGTTAGAAAATATATCTTTCTACACACTGTCATCAGCGTATAGAATACGAGTCACCTCGCATCAGGTGCCGTTATAACCGCGTCAAGATAAACACACCTGTTAGGCAAAAAGGATCGGCGAGAACGTACTATACGGGACACAAACTAAATTAGGACGATTCTGAATTTCCGATAAAAAAAAGACCTTCGGACTTTTTATACCTCTATCGTTCGAATACTCTGAATAGACGCAACTCTCAAGAGATCTACAGACAGGAAGGATTTTGATACCTAAAAGTTATCTCCAAAATATCCCCGGGAGGCCGGCGGGAACGTATAACGTCGACGGCTATCCTGATTGCGAACCTGCTCGCGGCACAAACGAAAGGACACTGGCGGGCCTCCCGGCGGAGGCGGGGAGGCCTCTCGCGTGTCCTGGGACGTGTGTTTACCCGAAAGGACCCCACCCTCAGAGCTTTGACGTGTGTAGGTATATACGCAGCCCGCACAGGCAACATGCACGCGTCACGACGGAGGAGTGAAAGGAGGAGCGACGGAGGATCGACGTCTCGACGAGGAGGGACATCGGCGTGGGTGAGGGACTTGTCATGTCGCGCGAAACGCAATATTTACTCACGGTATGCGCGCGTCCCCCAGGTATCGGGACCCTCCAGGATGGCCGGGCCGGACGACTTCCGCGCGACGATGTCGCGACGCCGCGCGCTCGTCGCGTCGCGACTCAACCACGCTCGGTCACTCAGCCGACCCCGGATCACGGCGGGCCACAACGCACAGGGCCGTGCTCCGGTTTTCCAGCGAGTCTCTTCTCTCCACGCGACCACGCAACAGAGCGCACCCGTCAAACGTGACACGCGCCCGCCATGTTGCCACGGCGACGCCGGCGCCGCCCGACGGCGCGGCGGCGAAGCGGCGGTCGCGCCAACTTCGAACGTACCGACGTGTGTATCTGTAGATTTGTTCTTTGCAGCTGGTATGTATGTCATACGTTACCTATATGTTTCTATATATAATAAAATATGTATTATATGATTGAACGCTGGAGGAGAAAAGATAAATGGCACAAAAATTTCAGCTGCAAAGAACAAACCGTGTTGTGAAGCGAAATTCGGACGATCTACGTCAAATTTCAGAACAAAATTCTATTTTGTAATTTTATATACTCCATATACATTTTGATATGTGCAGCATTATGAAGAATAGATCAAACTTATATGTATATTTTGACTTTTTAAATTTTTATGATATAAATAAAATTTTATTGTTAATTCTTACACAAGTTAATTACACATCGTCTTTTAAACTAATTCTAGAATGGATCTCTTCCGAGGTATCAAAGGTGACTTACGAAAACGAAAATAAAAACAATAATTAGGAAAAACCAACGACTATTGAACGGGCTTTGAGAAAATTGGGAGATGCGAGAGTGCAAAAACTCTGGAATTCCCGCGCGGGGCGCCCGTCGCGAGTCCTACGTTCCCGCCGGCTTCGGCGAAGCGGATGTTCTTCGAAAGGTTAGTACACGAAATTACCCAGCCCGAGACCGGTAGAGGCGCTAGATTGTATTGTTGCCGTTGCCGCTCGTGTTTACGGACGTATGAAGGACGAGGCGAGTTTTCCGTGGCACGCCGATATTCCCCGCAATTTCTGTGGTACGTAGAATTCAATGGAATCGTCAGCATTGTTACTATTGTCCGGTCGTGATGGTCGTCGCGAGTGACATTCGCGATTAACGGGCGTCTCTACTTGGCTGTTCGCAGGGCACACGTGGCACGGCTGGAACACGTGGGTTTCACGCAGCGGGAAACTGATCGACACGTCTGTTCGAGGAAATCACATCGCACGACCGACTGTACTCCGGACACCGTACTCGAGACACGACGATAGAGTCCATCTCGCCGACGGGATCGACGAATTGCGGGAACCGCAAAGAGGTTAGGCCGAGCGATATCACGTGCGTTCGCGAAGTATTGAGGAAATTCGAGAGAATTTCTGCCGAGACATAGACAGAGATATGCGACAATGTGTGCATAGCACCAATGTTTTTCTGTTGAAAGGTTGCACGTTAAGGGAGGAAAGAGTAGATTTGTAGATTTTCGAGATTCTTTTATGTTAAGTTTAGCAAAAACTGGGGGAGAACATGGCAGATCAGAAGTTGTTCTCGGAGCACATGTACAGCACCAAATTTCAAGAGGAATTTCAAAAACACTGGCACGCCCAAAGTGATTTTAAAAGCGCCAATCTAGAAATTATATCGAAACCCTTTAAAATATGTAAGATATCGAATTTCTTGAGGGACGACAAAATCATAAAGCACTTGAAAAACGAATTGAATTGTGAAACTTATACACGCAAATCTCTCGATCTTTATCAGTTTGAGAAAAGCGAGGATTTGTGCCATGCCACCGGCAAGCACATCCAAATGCTGAACAGAGCTTTTCGACAGGATCTAGCATCGTGGATGAGCCGCAATACGGATATCGAGCTGAACAAAAAACTCTTGATGTCGAGTGCCCGTTACTATAATACAGATCGTTTGTTGTGTCACGATGATAACATGGGTGATAGAAGAATCGCTTATATATTGTACCTGACCAACGATTGGTCAGAGGAGGATGGCGGTGCTTTAGATCTCTTTGACACGGATGAGAGAGGCTCGCCTGGGAAGGTGGTGAAATCATTGATTCCGGAATTCAACTCTTTCGTGTTCTTCGAAGTAGTGGACAATTCCTATCACCAGGTAGCCGAGGTATTGACGGAGGACAAGTGCAGGTGGTCGATCAACGGTTGGTTTTACGGTCCATTGAAAGAGAACCTTCGCAAGTCGCTCAGGTACAAATCAGCGGAGGCTCTCGTGCGACCGAATTCCACGGAAGTGGACCTGCGCTCTTGGATTTCCGACGATTACCTGGTACCCAGCGTAATGGAACAGATTCACGAGGATATCGAGATGTCGTCTTACATGTTCCTCAAAGACTTCCTGAAGGAGTCTGCGTACCGGCAAATTGCGAACGATTTAACGTCGCGGGATATCAACTGGCGGATGGTCGGCCCGGCGGACATACGTCGCTACGAGTTGGCCGACGAGCAATCCCTGCCGAAGTCACTGAAAGACTTCTGCGATCTATTCAAATCCATCTCCTTCTTTCAATTGCTGAAGAAGTACACGGGGCTCGATCTGACGCCCGAGAAAACCAAGGAGCCCATGATGACGCTAGAGTTACAGAGATGGTCGTCGGGCTGCTACACGTTGTTGTACAACAGATCGTTATTGAACGACACTTCAAACGAGTCGACAGAGGCTGACGACCGATCTGACGATGACGTGAGCGCTGATGACACCGCGGCACCCGCGTGTGCGTCGACCTCGGATTTGTCGGCCGGTGAGGTCAATCTGGACGCCAATGAAATGCGTCGAGAATTGAAAAGGGAACGAGTCGACGATCTTCCTTCCACAGCAGATTCAGCTGATAAGAAAAAGACTAAGTACCTCGAGAGCCAGTCAGACGTTGGTGCGCAATTTTCGAGTAAGCACGAGCGTAACGCGAACGTGGATGAAACTTTCTCGACTTCGGACGAGTTGTCTCGTAGCGGCACACCGGCCAGTGACAGCGAGAACGAGTCTGCCAGTAAGGGCGAATTTCTGCTCGATGTGATAATACAGTTCAACGTACAAGACGACAAAGGCATACCGAAGACTGACGACACGATAGATTTCGTGGATACTGGTGAGCAGGATGGTATTCTAATTCAAATTCCGATGCAAGATAATCATCTTTGTCTAGTCTACAGATCGCTCACGATATGCCGTCTTCAAAAATACCTGAATCATTTCTACGATGGCTACTCTTACACTTTCGTGTGTTCGTATTACGAGTAGTCTAGCGTGATTCTTTAATTAAAGCAGCATTGTTGTTTGATTAAAACAATGCTGTTCAAAGATAAAAAGAAAAGAAAAGATTAGTGTTTTCAGTTTAGCGTTAATTGCATTGGTTTCATGGCGAAACGATCAACGTTACATTTTCTCGAATCAAGACGAATATTCTTTTTGCGAATGAAATATTTCTTTTTTTTTTTTTAATATATTTTGTATTTTTCAATAAATTCACCCGTGTTCATCACGCGAACACAGATCGTCTATCTTTCCGGGGTTTTGTTTTTCTTATTACAGAAAAGTGTGCGAAAACAACAGCTTAAATCAACAGCTTTCATAAAAATTTATGTGTGCGCATAAATTTTTATGAAAGCTGTTGATTTAATTTAAGTGACTGACAATATCCTGAAAGAAAATGTATAAAGAGAAATTTATAGAAACGTGAAAAAATTTAAATATAACTAGAGATATTTAGTTATTAAAAAGTATTTCCTCTTATATATACATTTAAACTTAATGTATATATAATAGATTATAAAAATCGTTTATACATTACGAAGAATGTTTTCATAACTATATGTAAATTGATAAATATTAAAGAAGAGAAAAAGAATTTGTTCTATTAAATTTTGTTACATATAAATTGTCGTTTTAGCGATTAATACACTAAATATTCTCTGATCGATTTGTTTTTGCGAATTAGGTATATCTGACAATATCTGTATTTTTATAAATTTGGTATCATCTCATGAGAACGAAGATTTCAATTTTTTTTCTTTAACAAGAAAAGCATTGAGCGCGATAGCGACGCGTGAAGTCTTTTGAGATTTATTGACAGAAGAATTACACGATTGAAATATTTATAGATATCGGAATAATTTCAATTCGCGACATTGAACGAGAAATCTCAGTAAAAACGGATATATATTTGTCATAAAAAATATTTCTTTCTAATTCCTAGAAAGGGGTTTTTTTTCAATAGACACATGTTATGTTCAGGAAATTATTGGTTAGCTATTTATATGCTCAAGTTAGAGTCTTGCGGCGATTTTGCTAGGATGAAGATTAAGATTACAATGCAGGAAACACATACACACAGAGTCGTTTATTGGATGCGGTATATACATGGCACAAAAGAAAATTCTTCGTTTCACTTGCGAGAATCACAGCAAACGTTAAGGTTCATGCAGTCGTGAAGTTGATGTGCAGCGAGGGAATTGCGCCAGAGCGGGATACTCGGAAGAAAAGTCTCCCCCAAATGTGCAATGTGGACGTTCGCAGCGTCCGGAAACTTTTCTTTCGCCCATTCTTAAAGCATTATAAAACACGCGTATAGGAGTTGAACGTTGCGACTCGCGTGCGCGACGAGGAAACTACTACTTCGTTTCTTCTTTTTTCATAAGAATCGACGCGATTCTGCACCGGTGAAATAAAGTCGTTCAAGTCGAATTAGTTGCGAGGGGCGGAAAAGAGGGGGGGAGGAAAGAAGAAAGAATCGAGAGAAGAGTGTAGGCTTACGCTGTACGGACGTTCCGGTGGTTACATTCGGTTTCGGGCGCCTGCACTTGGATCCTGGGTCGCGGCAGATCCTGTTGCCCTGCGCCATCTCTGGTAGGTGACTTCGCCGTGACCTGGCAGGTATCAGAACGACCGTTTTTAGTGCGAAAACCGTGACGACCGCGGCGAGATTGTAAACGCGTCGCGCGCGTCGCCGCGAATCGGGGTGAACGGCTTAAGCGCGCGCCCTTAAGAGGGTTTAGGTCGCCCGGCAAATTGAATGGGGAGTTTATCCACCGCGCTTTTCCCTCTCGCGTATTCTATTTCAGGCGATCGCGCCGGAAGCTATTAATGGGCGCACCTTCCGATACAGTTCCGTTCCGGGTGACTTCATCGGACATTCTTCAAGCGATCGTAAATCCGTTCGTCTGATTGATCGTTGCTTAACTGCCGCAGTAAGAAGACCGGATGATCGGTCGAGCTTCAAAATTGTCCCATTTTCTTTCGCCTAATCACCATACTTAAAAAGACGTTTTTAAGGATGGTATTGTCCTATTTCTTTCGCCCGCGACCAGGCGAAAGAAATAGAATGATTGAAGAGCTTGACAGTGGGTTAACCCATATTTAATAAAAATAAAGAAAAGAAAAGTCTAAAATTAGAATGATGAAAATACATCCATTCCTACCAATATCACATATTCAGCTATGTTGTGGATTGGCCCATTGTTGTAGCAAGCCCTTTAATTTTGAAGCTCGATCGATCTTATAAGTTAAGTAACGATCAAATGTAAAGTTCTTTTTATGAATGATTTTTTATTAGAATCTTTAATAAAAAAAATTTACATTTATCTTTATTTATTAACAATTATTGTTATATTATATTATTACGCGATTATTACGTCTTCTCTTTTTGACACATACGCGTGATTTGTTTACGCACATTTGTGTACTTATCATTACGACGTATTTGCACGACCATTCGTAGAAGACCATCGACGCGATTTTTCGACGGTTCTCCTTATGCGAGTCGACGGGCCGGTTATCAGACGACAGACTTGTAATTAGACGACTATCGATTATTGCGCGTGACGAGACGGAACGGGACGTTTACGCAGATTACCAATCACCTGGGACGTGGAAGCAATCCCGGCCATCCGTTTCCGCAGCTCGTTCAACTGCAATTCCTGCTGGAAGCTGGCATCGTTCTCCTGCGACTCCTCTCGCTTGCCGGCCTCGATCGATTCCGTCGAGTACTCGACTTGGACCCAGGGACAAATTGTCGGCGACGATTGCAGCGAGCCCTTGCTTCCCGGTCGGGACAGGCGCGGGGAGAGTCGTCTCAATAGCGACACAAGTTTCGATCTGGAGCGATACTCGTTGTCACTTACTCTCCGGCGATGTGCGACGCGAAAAAGGGGTCACGAGAGGAATATAATGAAAACGACTTAAATGACGATAACAAATTTAACGATTTCTTTCTCTATTTTTCAGATCTTCGCTAAGATCGATGATCCTTCGCGGAATTCTAAGTATTTTTTTCTACGTCAGTGTTTTTATTATATTTTGAACATCCCGGAATAAACGGAATCTACGTGCTGTACGCCGCGCAGTTCTCAGACTTCGCTAATTATTTCGTAAAAGCGTATATATAATCAATTTATCTTCTTTTTTCCGCGAACTGCATTTCCGCCCAGAGTTTTACATTCCCATCGCATGTCTTCCGAGCGAGGAGCGTCGTTACCCGCTCTTTGTTTTTCAGACAAATTAATTGCTGTTTCCAATGTAACTCGAACACCCGCGGTTTTCCCGGTATTCACCTCCGCTGCGCGTATGCACACACGACGTGTGCTATCGCGATTCGCTTCTCGCTATAAAGCCTCCCCCTCGTCCTCCCTCCCCCGTTATTACCGCCTGCTGATTTCTTCTCGACTCGCAAAAGTCTATACCGTTATACTTTTCTGCTCGGCGCGGCCGCGCTCTTGCGAGGCGTGCTTGTCATAAATTATTTGCTTTCGTTGCGTGCGCGAAACGGATCTGCACGCGAGGTGCATCGGCGCGGATTAGCATACCTACCTTGTGCTCGGCGTCTGAAGATGATCGGAAGTGAGAGGCGCGCTCCTGGAAAGCTGCTCGTCGCTTCGCGTCGCGTTGCCCCATTGGAGCCGGTTGGAGCCGAAAGTGACGGACCTTCCTACTCTCCAGTCTAGGCTGCTGCTCTGCCTGGCTTGCAGATCTAAAAAGGAGGAACCGAAAGGTCACTGAGTGAAATTTCGAAATCGCGAACGGTCCATTTGCGACGATTGACCTCGAATAAGTCGCATCCCTTGGAAAGCACGAAAGTACTTTACTCGTTTAACAAATTTAATTAAGTCTAATTTAATCCGCTTAATTAAATTTAATTCAATCTATTTAATTAAATTCAATTTAATAAACATCTTTCCTTGTATGAAGGACGAGTGTGAATATGAATTAAATGAAAATCATGGATTGAGAGATGAGAATTGCAACTTGCGCCGAATATACGCATATGCTTTTTAAATAAAAAATTTTCTTCAAAAGTGGGTTTACATGTGTAAGAGTTATATGCATAGGCACAAAAAAGTTCAGATGAAAATATAAAAAAAAAATTGTGTCTGATAAAATACGGAAAAAGTCGCAAACGAATGATATAGTCTCCAGTTCTCCAGTTTGTTAATGACGCTATGAGTCACACGGTTAATGAATTACCTTGTTCGTTGGCGTTCTGGTTGACTCTCCAGTCCAGAGAATTACTATTCCTATTCACGCTATAAATGTTATCACAGGATTTGGTGGCAAGGCATGTCGCGTGATGACGACGTTTCAGCAGTCTTGATACTGGTCCCAAATTTCTGCAAAAAAATGGCGTTTCTCAAGTCGTCCCATTTCGCGCGCATCGTCAAGAAGGAAAAAAAAACACGATTTCTGTTTCTTATAATTTGTTAGATACCTTGTACAAGGTTATGTACGAGGCACGATAAAAAAAATTGGCGTTATCGATCGGCCGGCCGTTATCTCCGCGAAGCTGATTACATCCTATCGCGATAACAAAAATTCCGTGTTTGTCTCTAAATATTACAATTTATATATTAATGATATATATATATATATATATATATATCGATCGAGGAGATGCAACGAAAGTCACTCACTTCTTGAAGCGTCGCGTCTGCTCGACCGGCGGCTTGTTCTCGATCGGTCCAATGGCGACGGCCGCTTCCGGTTCCGGGCAGTAAGTGCCCACCCGCACGTGGCTGTAGGTCGCGCGTAGCTGCACCCCGTCCAGCGGCCGGAAGTTGCTGCGCTCGATGGACGAGACCCGCACGATCTCGATCTTCGGCCGCGCCTCGCCGCCGCTCTTTCTCTCCATGGCCGACGGAAGGCGACGTCTTCTGGATCGTCCGTTCCTCTGGATCAGCGGCGAAATCCACCGACGCCGCGCCAAGAGTTCAATTGCTCTCGACCTTATTGCCCGCCCGATAACGATCCTCCCACGTCGCATCTATCCGCATCGCGGGGGAGAGAGAGACCGCTGCTGGCGTGTGTCACGTTTGAGCAGATGCCCTCGGCACATCTCTCTTCTCGCCTCTTCTCGTCCCTCCTCCTCCTCCTCTTTCTCTCGGACGGCGGCGACGATTTTACTATCTCACTCGTGAAATTGCGCGAGACGCTTCCGCGCCGCTAATCGCGGGAAACCGCGGGGACCGATATGTGTGTCGAGATATATACGTTCAATCCTCGCACATAAATAAGCCGAGTAAGATCGGAAATCGTATGTACCGCTCTCTTGATACGTTAAGGTAGAAAAAGATTATCACGATGCGCTGCGATCTCTCCGGATGATCCTCGGGCGATCGGTGCGCAACACGTCGTTGTCTTCCTCGTTCCTCACATTCTCGATGAATGAATCACATGAAAATACAACACGCGCTACGAACGCGGACGTCGACGTATACGTACGTCTGGCAGTCGCAGATTCGATTCTCCTTCGCAAGGGAAGGATAAGCGCTTCGGCGCTCGGCTATCACGACGAACGGGCCTTATCGGGGGCGCACGGAGCGCTTTAAATTACCGTAAAAAAAAAACGCTCGATTCACGCGAGCGCACACGTGCCCGCGCACGTCCCTCCGCGCGGTCCTTGGCTCTTCTTCTCTCTCCGCCCTTCCTCCTCTTCCTTCTTCTTCTCTCGGCGTCGCGACCCGAGCGGGAGGAAAAAATGCGTGGGTCACGTTCATTCATCCCACGGGGCGGAGTACAACGTAAATTATCTCGCTGCGCGATCTCGGGCTCGCGAGCGCACGCGAGCGCACGCGAGCGAGCGAGCGAGCGGGCACGCACGTCCGCGCTTCCTTAATTGAATTGCTCACGCGTGTGTGCGTGCGCGTATACACGCGCGGCGAAGAGATATCGCGCGCGCTCGGCTCGCGTCGTCGCCGCGAGATCTCCGACGCTGGATATCGCGAAATTAACCGCGTTACCGGACCACGTCATTTCACTCGCGCCTCCTCCGTTTTCTGGCACTCTTGTCGCCCGTGATCCCCCTTAATGAGAAAAAGAGACGAACAACTGAAGAACCGCGGGCACACTGTGTGACACTCGCGAACTGTATACGCTCTCTCCTTTCCGCCTGCGGCGAATGGTAATCGATGACCCTCCGGGCTGGCACACATATACAACACCGACACTCAAATCGTTTCCATCGTGTATCAGTTTCTCGGGAAAAGAGTGAGAATGGAGGTGAATTGAAAAGATCGATCCGATGACGCACTGGTACACGCTCGTATAAAATTATTTCATGAAGCGCCAATCCTGGATGGATTAAAATCGCACAAGATATCAGTAAGACGATCTGGTATATTAAAATTAGGAGCAAATCTTATACATGTGGCGGATTTTAAATCCCAATTTTGATCCTTGGAAAAAGATTTAGCCAGCTTAAGGGAAAGATAGAGACGTTGCGTTGTCCTCTCGTATCCAATAAACGTCGCGATTTTCTGACGTAAAGATCGTGCTGCCTCAATAATACACGTAATTACATCTTATATAATTTCACGCGCGTAAACGCGAGTAGGCGTGCTTTAAATTACGACGCTTCCGCGCACGTGGAGTATCGTTTTCCGATTGAAAAATCGCGCACGGATCATGTATCGGATATCTCGCTAAAGTCGCCGTTTAACCGCGGCCGCGAAACGCCGACTGTATGTATATTCATTCACGCGTAACGCGCGGCGGCCGCGTCACGTCACGTCACGTCTCTATTCTCCCTTCGTTTCATTTCCCCATCCAGCGCAGCTTCCACCTCGGCCTTGTGTGTCACGTAACTATGTCCGTCCGTTCGACCCATATCGCGACGTGCCACGACGGCGAGTAACGCGAATCAATCGACGCCGATCGAATTAATTTGCGAGCGGCGACGACGTGCGTCCCCCACGTATCTCACGCGATCGAGACCGGGGATCCTATCGCACGTCCCTAAACTCGACGAGAACACGCGATTATGTCGCAATTTTTCAAGACAAACCTCCTCGTTATCGCAATTTTCTCCTATTCGTTTTCATTGCGTCGCACGGAATCGAGCGCGAGGGAACTGCAGGGAAACGCTTGCTCGATCATTTAACCGGTGACCTGTTTTCTGACATTAACAGCTGGACGATTTTTCGAAAACGTTATCGCGTCATCGCGCGCGTCGGAACGTTACGTTTTATTTTGTTGAAAAAAAATGGAGGGTCGGGCACGACTTTGGCGCGAGTCGCGCCTTAATCCAACTTCTATTATAGGGTAATTAAGGCGATTGCCTGGAAATGCCGCCGACTATCCTTTCCGAAGCCCCCGAGAGAGAGCTTTCTCTCTCGGAGAAGCCCCTCTCGGCGCGCGCTCTCCGTGCCCCAATTCTTCGCCTCTCTCGTCCTCAGAGAGAACTCCGCCGCGCACATTCGTCGTTCATTCGGAAAGGTCAGAGGGAGTGACGCCCCTAAAATCCGCGCGTTAAAGGGCTAAATTTATCCGCGAGGACGAGACACGCGCGCGTTTCGCCCTCCACCTTGACGTCAACGACGGGATTCCTCTGTGATCGAGAACAGAGGCGGAAGGTCGCCGACACGCCGGAATTGGATCATAACTTAATTGTCGCGCACCGACTGACCGCGGCCGCGCGCGACGCGGCACGGACGATCGCGAGCGGAATTGCCGTTCGGCACAGTGGAATGCGCGCTTCCGCGTTGTTTTTCTACTCGCGCGAATGCAAATATTGCACCGCGTCGGTTGGAATTTATATTCAAACACTCGTTCGCCTCGACAATAAAATTGAGGAATTCCACGATCTAACAAGTTTATCTTCGTGATAAACACGTTTCTCTCAATTAAAGTCAAGCATATCCTATTTTCGATTCTTTTTTAAACTGGATCTCGTGCAAATCCCTCTCCCTCAGATTTTTAACAGCTTGTGTCCGATGAGCTCTTCTGGCTTGATTGCGGTTGAATTGAGAATGACTTATCTCGCAGCGCAACGTGTTATCTCTGCTCGGAAATCGAATACAGCGCGTTTTTTAATTAACGATTACGTCATCACGGATAACACAGTCGAGGCAGAACAGCGAAAAGAAATAAAAAAAAGGGAAAAACCAGGAGGCACAAACTTCCTCTCGTGAAGGTCGTTTTTTTTTGTACGGCGACGATTTAATTCAATGCAACATCGTTGAATCGTGCGTTGGTGATCCGTTGTGCGGAGAATGTCTTGAAAAGTCGTCTCTAGAAGAAGGTACACTGCCGTGCAATTGTATCGCGGGCCTTCACGGTGATTTTAATCCGGACGCTGACATTCCTCTCTCTCTCTCTCTCCCTCTTTATTTGATATTTTTAAGCCACGAGGTCAAGAGGGATTTAAAATTCTCAAGCGAAATTCACGATACGACACGAGGACACCTCGAATCTTATTCGCATTTTAGCGCTTCGCCGTGAAATCTAAAAAAAGAATCCCGTTCACTTCGTACAATGTTTATAGAAAACAGCAGTCCGGTGGCTCGATATATAGGTGTGAAGAAAACGCTGATGTAACGTGACGCGAGATTCGCCGGGGAATTATCTTTCAGCCGCGAGGGAGAGAAAGAGAGGTAATTAACGCGGGTAGGCTACCGATGCGGGGTCTCATTACCGCGAGTGCGAGGCAGTCCGGCGTGAAGAAACGAGTTTGTTATGTTGCGCGTGCACGCGCTTGTCCGTCGCGTTTGACACCACCGTAGCCGCGGACGGCGAACGGCAACGGGCCTCTTCGTCGCGCGAAGGGATGCTTCGCAGCAGATGTGCGCCAGCCGAATCGACGAGCCGCGCACGATTGGATACGACGGGAGACAGACCGTTGCGGGAGCGTTGCGTTGCGGCCGCGGGCCGTGCATCGCCGCCGATGCGACGACGTGGGCGAGAGTCCGTCGAGATAGGCGTCGGTCTCGCGCTCGTGTACACACGGACCGGAAACTACGCAATGAGCGAAGGACACTTACGTGAGAATGACGCGTCGCTCTTTATCGGATCGGCCTTTATCGGTGAGAAAATCTCGGCAGAGCAGTTTTTCGACGACGGCGTGCTGCAGGAGTAAAAAGAGCGTCGAATCGTCGACGAGAGAAGAATACACCCGTCACTCTTTGACGTACATTATTTTTAGTACTAGCCGTGCGTATATACGCGATCTATATGTCGCAGCTTTTGTCGCGTTTCTCGCGTGTCTCGCGCGAAACGTGACGCGGAAATAAAATTGGACGGAGACAAGGAGCGGCAAGAGGAGGAGTAGGTTTGAGATGAAACAACCCGACCCTCGCCTCTGGCGTCCGTCAACGCTGGTCAAAATTAGCCGTGAGATATACGCGCTCCGAACCAGAAGAACTCAAATTTTAAAGCCCCCAGACATATATATATATATATATATATATA